ACTTATTGTCACCGATTATTGAATAGTATTTGCGTTTGAATTGAATGTCTGTGTAATCGATGGTAATCTCATGTATTAATTGATTTATTGATTGTATTGTATTTCTATTAATTATAATAAACTTTTTTCTCGATTTTTTTAGTAAATGAGTTTTGCGGTTTGAAAGTCATGTTTAAGTTCAAGAATTAATGAATTATTCATTACTTTTAATTCAATGCTATTTTGAAGTTTACGAAATGAGTGAATAGTGAATCGATTGGGTATTTACCAGTCATTAATGATCACTAATTATAACTTAAGTAAAATATTTTCTTATAATTGACTAATTGTGTGATGAGTAGTGCGATGATGAATACTGAATATTATAAATTTTATGACCCTGATCACGTCCACCACAATATTTGGTTTAATATTGAAGTATCACTAAAGGGTTGTCCTAAAATTAGTCACAAATGTCTGCATTGGTTGTGTATTGCAGACAAAAATGAGACAATTATGACTACCTGTGCCACGATTGGATAAATGAATTGTTAAATTTGCACTTTATTGGCAAAAGTACTTAAGACTCAAACAAAAGGAAAGGCGTCTCATTGTAGTCACAGTAGTCACTCCGCGTGTCTCAAAACAATCAGTTAATTAGATATTAAGTTAATTACTGCGAAAAGTAATGAATGCCTAAACATGTCTTCATTTCCAACTAATGGCGACCAATTGAACGGCTTTGAAGAGATCTTGCGTCGGTATGCAATGGATGGTTAGTACCCATAGATCTGATCCAATAGTCTGAAGTTTGTCATCAAAAACAGCATACGAGTCGAAAGTGGATCTCCTGATGGATGTGTCGCCCGAAGACAAACTATTTCTCCTACAGTACTGTCGGTTGGATCTGCAGCGCATAAGGAATTTCCACAACACTGATCTCAAAATAGCACCTACCGGTGCGCACAGCACTGGTGGCTACCATTCAGACCTGAGTCCCGTCAATATATTCGGGTACTCGCAGGACGTACTCGAGTCGTACCGCGAACTTCGCCAACTGTTGCCAATCTCTGTAGGGCTGGACCTGCATCTAAGCCCTAACCTCCCGTCCCATACAGTGGATCGCATGTCGCGGGATATGGTGGACATCCGGTGCCAGTACGAGGCGGAGGAGATATCCATATCGCGACCGCACTCGCCGTTCGTAACATCGGCGCCAATGACGCGCCTGAGTGTCTACATACGAATCGTCACCCGTAGGGCCGACCGCTTAGAGCCAGTCATAGATGCGATCCGTAGGTACGCCGCCCACAAGGGTGTGGGCGAAATCGGACGGGTAGTACAGACGCGAATCGACGTCCCCTGTAATCGGCCGGAGATTGTGGGTCGCGGCCACTGTCTGTTGGATCCCATCGCCAATCACACCGGCACTCAGATTCACCACCACAGGGAGGGCTACATTAATAACATGACGATTACGGGGCAGCGCTTGGAGGCGGTGATGGCGGCCCGCAAGGAGATCAGCGACCGGTTTGTGTTGGAACTGGAGTTCGAGGTGACGGCCGCTGATAGTAAGGCACTGCAGGTATCGGGCGGTCGACAGTTGGAGCGGATTTGCCGTCAGTTCGGAGTTCACATACTCATGAAACCCGGCCTCAATCATAATCGCAGGGTTGTGGTCATTAGGGGCACCGATAGGGCTGTCAGTCAGTTGTTTGATGCGCGCCAAGAGATTGTGAATCTCATGAATAACCCGTAAATTGATTTTTCTATTCAATGTTTGCGTTCATTATTATTATTATTTTTGGTCTCATTTTTGTTTTTTCATTTCAATTCTTATAAAATGTTTATTAAATTTATATTTAGTTATATATTTTCATATATTTAGTTTGTTATCGACAATATTGACTTATTGACAATAATTATGTTCATTATAAGTTATAGTTTATATTACCTTATCCTGTGGCCCAATATTGCATGCAATACTGGGTCAAATTCAGTGATTTTCGTGTTCATCGAAATCGTATGCAATAATATCTCAATAGTATTGCACCCCCTCATAGAAATCTTAATACCATTGCATGCAATATTAGCTCAAATTACAGGCCAGTCAGGATCCCTTTTCCTTAAACTTCCCGTTCCCTTAAGGGAACCAAAAATAATATAAGCGAAGGAAAAATATTCCCGTTTTGTTTGTAAGGGATCCATTTTATCAAAATTCCCTTAAATTTTCCATTAAATCTAAAATAATGTAATACAACTAAAATCTTTAGCTTGACATTCAATAACTAAAATATTCTAAAATATATAAAGCCTTTTATAAAAAGTATAATAGGGTTGCATGAAAATCTTATTTAAAGTATTAACACGTGAATTAGTGCATTATTTATAGATAATATTTAACGAAATTATTTAAGTAAAATTAAGAGAAGGGAAAGGGATTCCCGAATTGAGATTATTAAGGGAAAGGGAATGAAAGTAAGTGGTAATTTTAAACACTAGTTAAAATATAGCCAAATGAAAAACAATTATTGATCTATTCATAGGTTTAACGTTGAATTTAAGTTAAATAAATAGAAACTCAAAAATATTTTTACACCCTAAATAATTTTTGGCA